CCCGTAACTAAGAAACAAATGCTAATTCGATGATGCCGGCTGGCACACTGATTCACTATGAATGTAGGCCGCACCCCCTAAAGGCAGAAGCTCGTACTACATCCGGTTCGCCCTCTATTGACACAGTCTTGAAACTTTCCGATCGCACCTCGTAACACAGAAATTTCCTTGTGACGCTGGGGAAGACCTCGAAGAACTTCTTTCAGGAAGACTAGTTGTTCCCCGGTTTATCCGCTTATCTGCTCAATGCAAGTCTCAGCTTTTACCCCAGTATTTTGACAGCAGAAGTTAAACCTTTGAAAGCCATTGGTAACTTTATGTGCCTCCTACCGTAACATTAAATAACTCTGAATTCTGCCCGCAGAGTGTGTTTTTGTGTTTCGTGTGATTATCAGAATAAACAGCGATTATTTCCGTAAACGGCGTTAAGCAATTTATCGTTGTCATGGAAACGGGTTGTGTTTTGAGGCGAGAAATTAGCTGTTGAATGCTGTTCACATGCGCTACTGTTTCAGAGGGTTAAAACGGCGTGTTGATAGCTTCGTGGTTGTTCTGTCGTCATCAGCGGAGCAAAATTTTACTCGTGGTCGTAAAGTTGCACATACCCCAAAAATACCTTAATCGAAGTTACATAAGCTGTTATTAAAATGTGTTTCATCACACGAAACTTGTTCAGATAAAACCAGGTTAATTACTTGATATATTGTGTGAAGTAATGGACGTTTAACATTCTCATATTCTACACATTTCAAAAGGAAATTACATACAAGATCCTGTTTATTGGTGTTTCTTGATCATGACATTTATTAAGCTGTTTTTCTCCTCTGGCACGTGGAAGTGATTCACTGTGCTAGAAAAGGATGTACGAAGAACACAAAATGAACGTGTTCAGTGTATTTGGTGAAAATTTCAAAATATGTTTTATCCTTTAAAGGGCTAAACAGAATGCGTTATAAATTGCATTACCAATGTATTAGAAGTGAGCCCTTTTACAGAAATGGGATAATAACAAGACCTCATTTTAACATTTTAAGGCACGGCGGTAAATATATGTACCACCAGCTTTAATATCCAGGGACTACGTATTTCGTCAGGACAGTGTATTTCGTATGATATTCACTATAAACAAAGATTATTTCCTTAATCAGCGTTAACCAGTTGATCTTTGTAATGGTGAAGAGTTGTGTTTTCTTCGCGGTACGGACTGAATTCTTAAATATTAATCAGACGAACTAAGATTCTCACTATAAACAGCGATTATTTCCTTAATCAGAGTTAACCAGTTGATCTTTGTAATGGTGAAGAGTTGTGTTTTCTTCGCGGTACGGACTGAATTCTTAAATATTAATCAGACGAACTAAGATTCTCACTATAAACAGCGATTATTTCCTTAAACAGCGTTAACCAGTTGATCTTTGTAATGGTGAAGAGTAGTGTTTTCTTCGCGGTACGGGCTGAATTCTTAAATGGCCATTGGATGTTCTTCGTGCTTCGGGTTCTTGTATTTAAATGCTGGACTGCTGGCTATAAGTCAGTACGCATCTTGAAGGTCCTGCGACCGGTCAACTCGATCAAGGTTTTCCGCGGTCTTCCTCTGTCCCAGATCAAATGCTGAGTTGGTACCCAAATTCTACATTGCACATGCTTTCCTCACAGTGCTAACATCAAAATTCCACCCTAAAATAGCCCCCTTATCATCATAATCAAAACGTTTACTAAACGCGGCCCTTCCAAAGCCAATATCGAAAATTAAAAATTGTGCACGCATGCAGAGTTCCTGTTAAACTCCCCACTCCATTTCTTATCCTACCTTTTCTACTTCCAAATGCCTTACTCTTACTAAACCTATTTCTTCCATAAGGACGAGCGGGCACTGCCTGGGGAACTTCGTAGCCGCAAATCAAATTTCCCCTCCCTCCCCGTTTAAAGCAGTAGTGCCTATCGCTACTCCCCCTACCCCACTTTCTCCCCCCTCTCCCTCTCTCCGGGCTTTGAAGGGTTAAAGCCCTTGGCTTCAGATAACACTAAAAGACAAACTTTAAATATGGAACTTAGCACTTACGATACTATTGCATTCAGTTGTAAAAGCTAAATGTGAAAGTACAAAACTGTTTTTACTCTAAATTTTACACGTTTTCGCTCCAGAATCTAGCTTTTTTTTATTAGCCCTGATAACACGAGATATATCTTAATCGAGGGTTTTGCAGAATCGAACAAGCATGTTTTTATAACAGAATTTAAGTGTGCTTTGTTCATTTTGTGAATAAATTTGAAACGTGGGCGACCTATATGGAATAATCGAAGCGTGTTTTATGAGTCTGTTCACACTACAGCGATTTCGTTCCGAAATAAACGATGCAGAATTATAGCACCGAGAGAATAAAACGTGTTTCGCGGGACCTGTGCTGAAGACAAATCAACCCACATACTAAATCCTTAGAACTAAGGTTTATGGCTTCAATTAAAATATACGTACATCGTATACTGAACCTAAAGCCGAGAGGGTTGTTCGCGTACTCAAGCCCGGATTATGGAGATTCCGTTTTCTGTTGCCCATTGTTCTTCAAGTTCGTCTCTTCCAGAAAGAAATCTGTTGCCCAGAGAGTTAATGAACAGTAGAGATACTTCGTAAGATTTGAGGTTCTCGCACAGCTAAGCTCCATCTTCAGGTCTGTATTGGGTCAGTGACTTTTGCGCTGGTCGGCGTCTGGCTTGGTGGTGATGACGTTGCGGAGGATTCCCGTACGTTGCGCTTTTGTCTGGGATCCCCCCACGAATTCCTCTATTGGGAGATTTCCTCGCGACTCGCGTGGGTTGTTTGTTTTACGATTTTAACGAGGTTTGGATTGTGTATTAGTAGAACTTTCCAGTGTCAAAGTTCGTGAAAATCTCGAGAATTTGAATGTGGGCGGACAGACATGCGCGTAGGCGCACGTTCGCGCGTTTTTTTTTTGTCCCTGAACGTCGCGCCGGGCCGACTCGTGATGTGACTGCCCTGATGTTGTGTCACTGCAGGTACTTCGACAACGGAGACCGAGATTTGTCGACGATGGGGCGCGGGTTGCAGGGCAACAGGGCGTCTCAGTACTCTCGCTTCTCCGACACCGCGCTGCAGGTACCCAGCCACGGCGGGGTTACCCTGGACACAGGTAGGCAGATCTCCGGCTGTGACGACGCCGTGCGGTGTCGCACTCTCTTACAGACGTTTCGGAGGAACGTGTCACCTCATTCTTCACGGTAGTAATGAGTCAAGATGAGGGTGTTTTGTCTTTTGTATAGGACAAAGCGAATGGCTTATCTCGGGGCGTTGTTCCTTCTTGGGCCCTATCTTAAGTCACTTCTACCCCGAAGATGCTGGCGATACGTTTCTTTGGAATGTTTGTGAGTGTGGTGAGACTAAATCTCGTCATGACCTAGAACACGGAAATTTATTAAAGCTGATTGATGAATCTGCTAAGTGACTGCCATTATTGATTAATTAAAACTTGACTATGTTACTAACTGAATATCTAAATAAGCAGTGGACTAACTAACTGGTTTATTAACCAACAAGTCGGTTAAGTAATTGGATTCCTGCGTGAGAAACTAACTGGTTGTCTTACTGACTTAATTGAACAATTAACTTACTAAATAACTGATTTAATTCATGATTAACAGAATTGTGCGTAACGTTTTGAGTGTACGCGTTTATTGAGTAAATTGTCAGGTGTTGTGTGTGTGAGAGGTGCATTAGAGTTCTAACCACGGTGACTTTCCCCGGAAATCTTTCTCGTCGTTCACATTTACTGTTTCATCCCTCCTTACCGTGTCGTGCGCACTTTTATAGCGAAGAGTTCCCGCCAGAAATCTTGAAGGGTACTTCCATATTATTGGTCGGACTTACGGCCCTATAAACCTCTCCTTTTTAAGTTCATACTTAGGAGTTCTATCTATAAGTTTACAATCTCACGACCATCTTCTGTACGCGCCCGATTTCTTTATTGTTTACAACAATTTGTATGTGCCACATTGTTTTCATTATTACTGTCAGTGTTTATGCTCAACATTTTTTTTTTCGAAGTTGAATCTGTGAAAGTTAAATTTGTTGGATTCTCACCCTTGCCAGCTTTGTAATTGTCGACTTTTAAACAGTATTTTATTCGGATTTTTATTTCAGGACGTTGTTTTTAAGTGTCGCTAGTGTCGCTTACAACTCGCATTGAGTCCGCCATGTTCTTTCGGGACGCAGAAAATTAAAAAAATGGCGTTGCAATGAATTTATTCTTCTGTTTCTTGTGTAGCCTTTACGGATTTTGCTTTATATGGCCTGTCCAGATTCTGAAACATTTCTTTAATTATTAACCTCCCCTCATCCTTTGACGGGGGACGAACTCGAATCGAGGTCTCTATTTATGCAGGACAGCTTAAATCTTTTGGCGGTATTTTGTGAATAGTGCATTTATGAAGCTCCTCACTGTCGCCTTACCCCTCCTTTACCCTAAATATCCCCCTCAACACCCTGCACTCAGGCGTCATCGCATGTTCTCTACTCACGGAAGATTGTTTGCACTTCTTGTCGCATGCATTGAAAGTAACAGAGAATGGCTTGTATTGTTTTCATTGCGGTGGAGATGTCTGTGTTCATCTTCTGGGTTGCAATGCCGTGGAGACTTGTAGGTAGATAATAACGTTTCGAAAGAACATGCTGCCTACGTCTTCAGGGCTGAAGGCTGAGACAGCGTGTTTCTTAGGAACATCGATATGTACCAACAGGCCTGTAGTTCGACGTTGAAACTCGATGAAAGCGGCGTCTGTGCTTGGTGACGTATGAGGTGTTATGCGACATTTGTAGAATTGCGTTTCAGGTGTTGGTGGTGACAGCGAAAACCTCCAGGATACCACAGCCGTGCCGGTTCTGTCCAACAAATATGCCATAGAACGTGAGGAGGCGGGTGTCATCGGTGTGCCCAGAGGCGTTAACTCGTCCTCAGCAAAGAACGACTCTACGGCGGACAGAGATGGAGGCAGACAGCAACACCATCTGGCGGTTGACATGGCGTCCTCATCACTGCCTCCCTCACCAACAGCGCTTACGAGAGATTCTCAAAAAAGCAGTCTTCGTAGTAGAGGTGGTTACATGGGGTCGTATCCCGGCAGCGGGCATCACCGATACACCGGGCCTTCGCCTTGCCGTCCCAGGATCATGTCGCCGATGGGCTTCGCCATCACCCGACAGCAGTCTCAGCGACAGCCCAGGCCCCATCGCCTCTCCAGACTAAGGGAAGACCCTGACTTTGACGACTCCGTCGATTATTTCGTCGATTATGATTATTATTATTACAGTGGCGTGCAACCGAGCAGGTCGAAACCCGTCCCGATTTGGCTGTGCGTCTTTCTCGTCGTTACCTACATCCTCTGTGGAGCGATTTTGTTTATGAAATGGGAGAAATGGTCTTTTCTTGATTCTGCTTATTTCTGTTTCATAACGTTGACTACGATTGGATTTGGTGATTTTGTACCTGCGAAGCGAGTTCAGAACAAAGATGCCACCGTCAGCATTGCTCTGTGTTCTTTGTATCTGCTCTTCGGAATTGCTTTGCTTGCGATGAGTTTTAACCTGGTACAGGAAGAGGTTATTAACAATGTGAAATCCGTCGCTAAGAGACTGGGTATTGTCAAAGAAGACGAAGAAGATGAAGGGTAGAGAAGCAGAAATCTTCGTCGACTCTTGTCCGTCCTTTCCACTGTTCGCGTTGTTTACTACCCGAAGTGTAAAATGAACGTCAAGATTCAGCGGGAAATTTTATTTCTTCTTCTTCATATCTTCGACTCTTTCCTCGTTCTTATGCCTTCCTTCGTTGTTTCCCATTCTTTACACCTGTTCGTTTTATCGCCACACATCTCCCCATTTCATCCTTTATCTGTTTCGTCCGTTTACCTCTCTCCGTGAAAACCTCGTCTTTACAGAAGAAGAAGAATAAGCAAAAACGATGGAATTTTGAATTGTGTATTAGAAAATGCTGAAGTTATTGATTTTTAAGTTTAGGACATAATTTAGAGGTTTCTACTGTTGGGGGGTAAATTTTGACGACTTTAAGTGGTGGTAAATTTTGATGAGTTTAAATCGGGAGGGCTGCATGAGAAGCATGCAGTGGTAACTTGGAACTTGCGAACCATCTCAGCATTTGCGTGAAGACAGAGAAAAACCAAGAAGAAGAAGCAAGTTGCCTGCCTCTTACGTAATTCCAGTGTTTTCTATGACGTCCGCTCCCATATCAATATGTCACGCAAAGTTGGGAGTCTTCACGGTTGTCTACGGAAATTCGGAATCTACACGGCGCCCCATTCAGGCAGGAGTCCCCCAAGGCAGCCTGTTAGGGCCAGTTTTATTCAATATTTATATAAATGATTTACCAACCATAGAAAATGATAATAATGTGGCCGTCTCGATTTACGCGGATGATACGAGCGTCACTGCTCGATCAGGCAGCGTACAGTTGGCGGCAAATAAACTGAATAAAGCCATTACAACTTTCGAGCCTTGGTTTGAAAAATGGAGGATTAAGATTAACGTTCATAAATGCGCGGTGACATTATTCTCTAAACGGCTGTCGCACCTCCGCAGCGAAGTACCTCCCCTGAAGATCTTTGGAGCAACCATCCCCCGGGTAAATGAAGCCAAATACCTTGGCGTCATCCTGGACCGCAAACTCACCTACAGATCACACATAAGTAAAGCAGTGTGCAGAGCCAACCATAGGCTTAGCCAACTCTACCCAATCCTTAACAAGTCCTCCTCCATCAACATCAACCTAGCACTTACAATCTATAAGACACTCCTCCGCCCAATGCTAAAAGTCAAGCAAGTGAGAACTCCCAAATTAGGCAATTAGGTCAATATGACCCCATTTACGATAAACACCAGCGACCGCGGGCCCTACTAGGGGGCTGATCCTGCACATACTCTACAAATTACACATATTTAAATAAAGTAAAGTCCATTTTGGGCAAAACCCTACTCATTTTAGCCAGCCGTTCATCGGAGGACGCTCTAGCGGAACTCCTGCCATGGACCAACATGAAAACCGTATTTAATAAACACAGGCACTTATAATCGTCCCGGTTGTTATTCACAATTAAATTAGGTCTAACGCCCCAATGTCACGTCTGTATCAAATCCAGACGGTGTTACCATGGAAACCATAAATACACTGAATTGATACACAAGCCGGGAAGATACAGCGACTGTGTTTCAGGCAATAAAGAAATGAAGTAGTCAACAGATGACATTTTTCTGGGTTGTGGCGCTGTGTACTATGGTAGCAGTTTGCCGACGTTTCAGAGGTGCTTGGTGCCGCCTTCATCAGGGCGATGAGGTTGGATATACAGTAACCAGTCAGCTAGGACGGAACGTTGATCGAAGCAGGGTGCAGGAAGGTTACTAATAGAGTAAGCGCCTCCGAAACGTCGATAGTCTTCTACCAGACTCCTTCGCGCAACATCCCAGAAGATAGCCATCTTCTTGTCAATAATACATTTGCAAATGAATATGATTAAACACAAAACGAAGCTATGGTTGTTATGAATACGGACAGTGTTGTATGTCTCTTTCTAGGGCAGACTAAGGTAAACAAACGATATATTTTCAGGAGCAAAACTATTTTTGGCTCCAAAAATAATTAACCTCCCAAGCCAACAATGTGACGAAAGAGTTTTCGACATCCAAATATACAACGTGAAATAGTTTAGTACCAGAATCTCTTGACTGACAGACTACGGCCTCGTGCTGTAATTTCGCAATGACGCGAAATCCCCTTCTCTTGAGATCCGAGGATAACGATGTTCTGACTTGTGGCGTCTTGTAGACTCTTCATTCCTGAAGATGGAGGCTGTTTCTCCGAAACGCTGGTACCTACCCGCGAGTCTACACGGCGCAGAAACCCACAGTACCAACATTGTCTTGGTGATGCCTTCATCAAATGTCTGCGGGGCACCTAACATTCGTGGGGCAAATCAGAAATGAACGCAGAAATTTAGTTTGGAAACCCCGAAGGGTTGGGACCACTTGCAGGATCTAAAGATAGTGGAGAATGATTTTATAAATCGCATTTATTGCGTTCACAAAACGTTAGGCCGACTATTACGGTATCTCTTATTGGAGAAAGGCCAGGTGTCGTAGGAGCGGAGGTTTCACGTGCTCTGCGCTGGCTTTCGGACAGGAGTTTGGCGTCTACTCCACCAAAAAATCTCTTCCCAGATTTCTCATTATGAAATGTTTTCTCTGAGAACTCTTGAGCGTCCAGTGAGAATGAATTTGTCTCGTACTAGAAATTAAAGCGATAAATATACGACTATTACACTTAACTAAGAGTTAAATAGTCTTTCATTTATATTTAATAAAATACACAGCATTCAAACAAAATTTATAGATCCATTCCTTCCTTGTCTCCCCCTTATAATAATTTTCTTTGTTCATATAATTATTTTTTGTTTGTTTGTTTATTTTCTTCCTTTGTTATATTTAAATTTTATACAGTGGATTCCGGTTAATTAGGACACATCGGGACTAAAACACTTTGACCCAATTAACCGGTATCTACTGTATTTTATTCCAATGTTGTACTTTTGCTGGGGGAGATGAAAATTTCCATTGTATTTTTGCTGGGGGAGATGATAAATATATGAAAATTATTGGGTGAAAATCCTGAAGGGAAGAAACAACTTGAAAAATCTAGTTGTAGATGGGAGAGAAATATTAAAATCGAACTTGGAGGTAGGTTGTGGATTGGATTCATTTGGCTCAGGATGACGACGGAAGGCGGATTTTTGTGAACACGCTGTTGAATTTTTGGATATTACAAAGAGCAACGAATTTATTGATCACTTTAAGCGACTGAGCCGAAGAATTTTTTTTTGTACCGTGAGCTCTGTAATGCGGTCTTTATGAACTTGTATGTCGAAGGGACAGGCAGATAATGGCCGTCTCGCTGTAAATAAATGCTTATTTGCGTTTGAGTGTTATCGGTCTTAGCTGTATTTAATTTCGCATTACACGCAAGAAAGATGTCTGCTCCATGGCAAACTCTTGTCCCTTTTCAAAATGCCCTGTCGCTCCCATACATCAGTCCCTGCCCACCTGCTCTCACGTGTTTCTTGGCTTCATCGCGTCTGCACGTGAACATTTGTCTCTTTCCATATTCCTCTTTGACGATAAAATTGCAGTCAGGACAGGAAGAGAAGGAATATTTGTGACATTTCCCTGTTGATCTTCTTGTGACGCCATGTAGAGGACATCCGCCCTGAAGATGGAAGCGGTATTTTTCACCGAAACATTGGTGGCACCTTCAGACTGTTCGGTATTGTATGTGGGACGCAAATAATCCATTCGATATAATTTAGCCAGTTGCACGTAAGGTTGACTTAAGTATATAATTAAGTCGCGAAATCTTAGTTCAGGTCTCTGGTTACTTGGTGTGGGTCTTTGCCATATTTAAGTCAAGAAATTTCCTTGTGACGCTGGGGAAGACCTCGAAGAACTTCTTTCAGGAAGACTAGTTGTTCCCCGGTTTATCCGCTTATCTGCTCAATGCAAGTCTCAGCTTTTACCCCAGTATTTTGACAGCAGAAGTTAAACCTTTGAAAGCCATTGGTAACTTTATGTGCCTCCTACCGTAACATTAAATAACTCTGAATTCTGCCCGCAGAGTGTGTTTTTGTGTTTCGTGTGATTATCAGAATAAACAGCGATTATTTCCGTAAACGGCGTTAAGCAATTTATCGTTGTCATGGAAACGGGTTGTGTTTTGAGGCGAGAAATTAGCTGTTGAATGCTGTTCACATGCGCTACTGTTTCAGAGGGTTAAAACGGCGTGTTGATAGCTTCGTGGTTGTTCTGTCGTCATCAGCGGAGCAAAATTTTACTCGTGGTCGTAAAGTTGCACATACCCCAAAAATACCTTAATCGAAGTTACATAAGCTGTTATTAAAATGTGTTTCATCACACGAAACTTGTTCAGATAAAACCAGGTTAATTACTTGATATATTGTGTGAAGTAATGAGGATAAGTACTGAGTGGTCAGGCTTCGATTTCGAACTGGGGCAGAGTTCTTTTTCTTCGCGCCGCGGTCTGACCGCCTCTGGGGCCCACCCATCCTGTCCAGGTTAAGAATCCGTGGAGTTATACCGCGCTTAATTAAGCACAGATGACAACTTTGCATTTTTATGACAATTATTTTGTACGTTAATAAAAGATCTGTCACTGGTTATTCGCCACTGCTAACGTCGGTGTATTATATTCGGCGTCCACAACGTAATGTCAGGTACAGAAGGTACAGGAATGGATTTCTGTCCTCCAGCAGGTGTTCTGTTAAACGAATTCAGCAGGTGTACAATGTGGAAAGGAAGACAGACAGCTTGTCAGACGTGTGTCCGGAAGCTGCCCATTCCATCTGCTTCAGAGTTACGCAGAGGCCTCGTGCTCTTAAAAATTGTGGTGGAAATCTGTCGCGTCACATGCAAGGAAGGGGCGTGGATCGCAAGCCGTAGCGAGATAGGAGAGTTTGGATTGGTCGTGGGTTCCGAAACTTCCAGTGAATTTCTCTCCGGACGTTATGCAATTTAGGACACTTTGTAGTATATAATGATTTACTTAGAGGGCCACACATTACCACTACCATTCTCATTGTTGTAGACAAAATGGCGGCTTTACCTTGTTTATATATCTGTGAACTTTCATTCTGAAACCGCCATAAATTTCTGTTTGGACGTTAAGGTTCTCAGAAGAATGCAGGCCTTTGACGGTCAGACATCCATAATAAATTTATTAAGATTTGCGGCTGTGTCAGTTTTATTCTCATCTACAGGGTGCTCCGTTTTAAGCTCAACCCGAAAGTAATCACGTACTACGATTTAAAAAGATATATAGGAGGGAGGCCCCATCCCCGTATTAATAGACTATCCCAACATTGTTTTGATGCTAGAGTAAATGTCACATTTGTTGCTAGGCCGCTGCTCATACCAGTTGCGCAAAAGATGTGCAGGAGTACTTATGACCAGAACGTGTTGTCGTTCTCGAACATTACTTGGCATCGAAATATTTTTCAGCTGTTCTTGAAGCATTCAACAATGCGTGTCCCGACGAGGAATTGTTGGAAAAGACAACAATACATGGACTGGTAACGAAGTTTTGAGAGGAACCTGGGACGGCGTTGACAGGTGTGGAGCTGTTCTGTGAGTTATTCGTTACAAATAAGACTTAAAAGCAACTTGTTACGTTGATATTACAAATTCCGTTGTAGTAGTTGGGGTTTGAATTTTAAACGAAACGCCCTGTAGCATATGGAGTGAGGCTAGGAAACGGAACGCGACGGACGTGCTCAAATATGTGCACAGAATATCTGGAGAATTTCTGTAAGTGTTTTCTTCTTTCATCTGGCTGTATTTAATTTTCTTGACAACGATCAAGACATCTTTTCAAACAGATTTCGATACTCAATGGACTTCGTTGTTGAACAAAAGGTAAACAAGATATGTATATACGTAACTTCCAACTGAATCCGTTTGTTTTATACTTAAGCAGTAGTATGTTAGAACAATGCTCCGTGTGTGCTCGTGTGTTATGCGAGAACACTTCTGTTATTGTCCGTCGCTTTCAATTGTCTAAGTACACACACGGACCCTGACGTGATACATTGCAAGTTTATTTACTTCTTTGACGTTGCGGACTGGAGTAAAGCGAGATTCGAACCTGAGAACTTCCGATTACAAACCGGTTCCCTCTTTCGTGCCAAACTCTTGAATTGCAAATGTAGTTCACTTCTGTAAGTCGGAAGTATTTCTCTGAGCATTG